GCTTTATACTATTTTATACTTACCTCAAGTTTATATTTTAATTTATTAATATTCTCCTCTATTTCTTCTCGAGAATGGTCTGGGTATAATTCCTTTTCTATATTCAATGCCTTGAACGCCTTAAGATCTCGAACACTAATATATCCACTCTCAGCCTATGGTAAATGCAATAGTATGTACCAGTACATTAGTTAATTCCAAAGTTACGAGTTATGTCACATCAGCTTCCGCACATGTGCATTTTCAGAAAATATAGGATGACATTGTTTTGGTTGGATAGTCACGCACAGTTAGAGAGGAGCAGAAACCTTCTACATCTAGAAGACATAGCTCTTCCGAGTCGGCATTCCCCAACCTTTAGCTATGACATACCAAAACTAAATATCCACATTTACCATAAAGTCATCATTAAATATTGATATCACATAATCTGAATTTTTATCAACCTGAGATAACACTTCTAATACTTTTGTTTTTCGTTCAATACCTTCTATTTTCAACAGAGACGAATTCACTGCATGGTCTATTACTCCTCTTACATACTCGAAAGGGGGTAAAATATTGTTTTCTATTGCTAGGTAAACTGCAAACGTGCCACAAAGACTATCCAATGGCTCTTCCAATAAAAGTGCTTCAATCTTAGATATTAAATGTGCCATATTGGTAATAAAAGATTTAATATTTCAATAAATCAAATTGCAAATAAAGTCACAACTAAAGCTTTCACCAACATCGCTATACTCTCCTTTTAACGTTTCTCGTTATTTCTTTTTTAGTATCTCGACTTATGAATTAAGAAATCGGTATATGCACGATAACAAAGAATATGTATATGTTCCAGAGTCAGTTATTTGATTATAAGTAAAAAAGTCCACAATACTTTCCTTTTACTGCTTTTCGTTATTTCACCAAAGAATAAATTAAGAAAAAGATAACGTATGCACAAGAACAAAGGGTATGTATATATCTCGAGTCGATTATTCAAACCAGGTTATCGATATCCCTATTTGTAAAAAGTACAGCATATCAGATTAGTTTTGCGATAAATAAAAATAGTGGAGCAGTAAAGCTAATAAAAGTATAAAAAGTGATGTTACATATCTGCTTTTTCACATAGATATGCAGGGTGTAAGGGGCACTAATTAAATTTGGTAATTGGTGTATCGTATAACCTAATGATGCATGCAGGTTCTATTACATTCGAATTCCTTCTATGGCATATATCACATGGTAGGTTAATTATTTTAGTGGTGAAAAGTTATCATAAACTGTAACTTTGCTTTATGTATTACAACCCCTTATAATATAGATGTAATGAAGATATGATGAAGGTGTGATGTAGTCACAATAAACTTTTTTATATATAATTGTATGGGAAATAAGTGTATCTCAGTTCTTTATCACAGTGAATATTTTTTTTGTGATGTGGACTGACGATCAATTACGTTTATTAATAAATGAGAGAAAAAACAAAAATACCGAGTATCATGGAATTATCCTATTTTTTTAATTGGCACTTACGATTATACGAAAAAATCTCGTGTAACATTATTGTCAAGGAATTTTTGTCATACTGATAATCATTTTATCTAATCGTCTGACATTTGTGCAATTATTTTTCAAGCTCATATTCCACCTTCCAAATCGTGTATACGACTTGATAGTATATACTTGTTAGCTTGGCTTCCTTACTGATTTTCCAAATTTTTTTTCCACGATTTAGTGCCCAATGAATTTTTACAAAGTTACTCCTATCCACGAATGGACATGTACCAACATAATGGAATATTATCACAATGAGCTGGATATGCTAGATAAGGCAAAAGTTCTAGACAGTGTCAAAAAAAATCTTCAGAATGTGGCAAATGTTAACTCTGGATTCGACTTAGAGCGTAGAATAAAAGCCCAAGAACTCATTGATAATTGGAAGGTAGGTTAACGGTCACTGTGATATTTTAGACTGCAGTAAGGAATAGGAGTAGCTGAAACTCTTAGTTTACGGCGGTAACCTTGACTCTTAGTTTAAGTGTGGGGGGCTCTTAGCTCGAAACTCCTTTTATTTCCTTTGGGAGGCTGAACTCTTAGTTCAGTGGTAACCTTGACTCTTAGTTTAAGTGTGGTGGGCTCCTAGCTCGAAACTCCCTTTATGCATCTTAGTTGGTGACTTTTCATTATAAAATGATTCACTAATGCATATTCTGCTCTGCAAAGAAATGGGTTGCTCCAGTGAAAAATTATATAGGTCAAATCGGATACACAAAAAGATAGAGGTTGTGCGAGTTAACCAACAGCTAAATGCAGTTAAAAACTCTGCCGATCAGATTGATATATTTCAGAAACAGTTTGTCGATGATAGTAGTAGAAAACGTTATCATGACAATAACGAACAAATGGATAAAGAAATATTTGAGAAAAAGGCGAGAATTAAGAATACAAGTTCCGATGAAAATCCTGCATACGGTAAGAGCGGGTTTTGAGTGATTAATTTCGGTATTATAAAATTGGTATGTAATTAACAATTTTCCTTATTGACTTCGTCAATTAATGCATCACTATCAGATAATCAAATATCAATATCCATGTCTTCCTGTGATGAAGATGATTCAGTTGAAAATATGAATGCGGAGGAGCTCATTGAGTTTTTACAAAAACGAAAATTGTTTTTGAACCCCAATCATTTTGAGATTTTGCGCGGCCGAGAGATTATTGGTCACGACTTCCTTAAAATGAATAAACAAGATTTTAGAGATTGCGGGTTAGAAATGGGTCCGGCGATGCGACTTGCAGATCTCGCTAAGGAACTCAACGACAAAAGTAAATATTTTATAATATTATATCTATGGCTTTATTTTATCTAATTTGATAATTTACAATAACTTGTGTATTCCGCTTATATAGACGAGGACTCAAATAACGAATTTAAAAAGTCTACAATAGGAGCTCCTCCAATCGCTGCCGAATCGGATATGAATAAATTCAACAAAAAATTCATTGAAGATCTCTATAAACTTCTCAATGATAATCTTAATAAGAAAATTCGTAGTGAATTTCAAAATATCAAGGGGGATGTAGAAAAGATTAGATGTCAGATGGAAAAGATTGACAGTGCAGTGAAAAGTCTTGAACAAAAAAATAATACTGAAGGAAGTGAACTCAGCTAATGATCACATTATAGCAACTAAATATTTGCCGTTTATAAACAAAAAAAATTAAAATGTAGCTAATCAACAATCTTGTTTTTTTTTTGTACTGCAAGAAATAAATATCGTATTTTAGTTTGTGTATCGGAAAAACAAAAATAAAAGATCGCTTACATAACAATCATGTTCTGAAATGGACACGCGTGATTGATAAGTGTGAATTAACGTAATCAAGTTTAGTTAATAAGACCCAATTCTCGAAGATGTTCTGGGATAACTATATATGGGTCTTCGTAATACCAGACATATCTTAAAACGATCCAATTTTCTTCACATAATTCTTTCTTGAGTTGATCCCGTTTTTGCTGTTTGATAAAATTATTGGGATCTCCTCTATGAAAGAATCCAATATATTTCTCATGTTGTACCCCTTGGATTTCTATAGCTAGACCATATTCTGGGTAATAAATATCTAATTCTAATCCCATTGGGTGTTCTGATGTTTTGAGAAAATTAGGTCGACGTATCTTAGATGGTGGTCCAAGATATTTTGATATAATTTCACGACAAAGATCTTCACATTTAAATTTTGAACAAAATGGACACCACGTGCCTCTTAAAATACAATTAGAAATAGCCTCCCATCGGTGATTTTCTTTACAACACCAAAGGAGTTTTGTATAAGAATTATAGTATTTTTCTGATAAACATTTTCCACCTTTTCTTTCTGCAAAAGCACGCATATCTT